ACTAACTGTGTGGCCGACCGAAGCGAACCCTTCGCGATTCATGGGATCAGTCGCGACCCAATACACAACCACAGTTTCAGGAGGTATCTGTGGGTCCCATACGCCCGGAGAGGTGTAGCAGTACGGGTAGTTAGGCCCTCCGACTGGTTTGAAGCGTTCGAAATGCAAATTGTGGCCATTCGATGCTTGCGCCGCACCGAGCTTGCGTGTCCAAGTCCCCCAACCGTTGTCGACTGCTCTGAAAATATTGTTCTCGGCGAGCGCGTCTCTGAAGCACCAGTTAATCAAGAACCTTCGATCTGGTTGCCGGGGCCAACGTTGATTGTTAGCGTTGTAGACGGGGAACCTGGAGGAGTTAATAACTGATGGGCCTTGAGCATTCGCACTACATACCCAGCATGGCCGCCGGTATCAAGTGGCGGAGCAATATCGATTGGGCCAGGAGAAGGAAGAGTGGTGTTGAGGAACTCTGCCGAGATCGCACATACGAGTCCAAGGAAGGCAAAGAGAAGGGAAAGAGAACGCATTTTTGGATGTATAGTCGGCCTTGGAAGTGGTCGCGCGCGGTTTCGAGGTGGCTGCTAGAGAGTGTCGAGTACAGCAGTGATAGTCGTAGTTAATGCTGTGGCAAGCGAAAGTGGGGCAACATATGGTGAAAGACAAGCTCTAATGTAAACTTCACCTTCACTGAGTAGCGAGTGCAGGTATCATAGGTAATTATTGTTGACACTGATTCATCTCTGCAAGCCCTCGTTCAGCAACGTGACAACCAGGGTTGCAGTGAAACTACTTCTAAGCCTCTAAATTCTAACGTCCGCTAACCCGACACGATTAATAGTGAGGATACATAAACCGGATTGCCGCAGCGTCGCCTTGGGAAATATGGTAAGCTAGCCCAGGTACATGACCCTTTAAGGGCAAAAGGAAGAGCGGTGCTACGCCTTGAGCATTTGCCATGCCTATTTGAGCCATTGGGTACGAGTTAGGATCTGTTGCTGAATATGGAGCCTGATGATTGGTTCCCGCTATCGAATCGTAGTGCATGATGGAAGCGTAGTCGTAGGTTGAATGGTAATCTGGAGCGGCTGCAGTCCTTGTAAATGAGCGGATTAAGTCCCATCCGAATTGTTCACCGACACCATCCACTTCCGTAAGTTGCTGAAAGGTGACGTGGTTGGCTTGAGCAGCCTGCCAAGCTCGTGCGAATCCGTTGAGTTGCTGAGGCCTGAACTGAATGTAAATATCTCGATCCGGTCGTTGGTGCTCGTGAAGAAGGCCAAACACATGACCCAGCTCGTGTGCTATCTGCCAGACCGGGTTCGGAATCTCTCGCCCCGGTGTATCCACGGGCCCCTGGGTTAGATAATGTGCGCCCTTTTCTCTGCCTTGGTAACCAGCCGGAGCAAATGCCCCAACCACTTGAGGATCATATTTTATACGCACTGCCGCGCGAGGCATACCCTTAGTCCATTCGTTGTTGTCATCGTAACAATGGGGATAGTTGCCTGTGACTGGATGTTTCCAACGTTTGAATTCTAAGGCGTGGTTGTTTTCAGAAGCCGTTCCCATGACTGAGGTCCAAACAAGCCATGCCTGTTCCATGCGCTGCACCGGGATCTGTGTCTCTGCGAGCTGATTCTCGAAGCACCAATAGATTGTGAACATTGCCGTATATTCATCACGAGGCCACCTCCTTGCCGCTATTACAGGGTGCCTGCAAGAGTTAGCAAGTGTCGAGGTTGTTCACAAGATCGAATTATGGATGACGAACCCAGCAAAGACGACCCCAAAGAAGGCGAAGAGAAGAAGTAGGAGCAGCATGGCTGGGCGCTGAGTTAAGTTCCTGAAGGTAGATTCTGGGATTTGTCGGTGGTAGAGCTTCTGGTGGGTTGAGGCTAGTAGTATGTATAGTCGATGCAGGTCCCTGGGTAGGCAGCGAAGGTGGAGTGGGCCAATGCACTGAGTGCGGTGTCAGCGCGGCGGAAACAACGCTGGTGCAAGGGAAAGAGAATAAGAAAAGTATAGGTCTTTGCAATAGTTCTGCTAGCCCCGCGATGAACTACTAGGGACACCACTTCTTGGTCTGTGCGCTTTGGACTTGTCGGGCAAACGCGTTTTGAAACCTAAGTGGAGGCTCTTTCACCACCTACGTAAAGTCAAGTGTAAGATTGTCTACGAACTGCAATTTCTGAGTTCGAAACGCCAGATTATGACTAAAATATGGTTTGCCTACGACGCATAATATAGGTATTGCTGGTTGAACGCGTCACTGGCGAAGACTGAGACTGGAGCGTATGGTGAGACACGAAGTTTGAGCTCAAAGTTGAGCTACAGCAAGTGCAGCTTTCCAAGTGTACTTAGTAGTTTTCTTGGACACCTCCCGTCTAAGTCTTTATCTAGCTATTCGCGGTCGTGGGCGAGGAATAGAATGATCGAGCGATCCAAAAGCGATGTTGGCCGTCAGTGCGTCGGTATCATAAAGATCACTGGTCCAGTGCGGGAAGGCCGATTACTCCCACGGATACAACAGTTTGATAGCCTCTTTTTCCAGCCTAGAAATCCCCCACTCCCCACTCGGACGTGGCAGCGGAAGGAGCGACTTCTGACCATTCTTTCCACCGGTGAGTCGAACCAAAGGGTAATTATCGGGGTTGTTCTGATCCTGATTAACAAGAGCAGGGTTGTGGCTCTGCCACGAGCTGTAGTGCATGATCGAATCGTAATCATATTCCGCGCTGTATGCCAAGCCGTCGTTCGTCCACTTGTAGTACTCTGAAGCGTCGAATTGGTAGTGCTTCGCAACATTAAAGATGTTACGGAGTTCGTTTATGGTAAAGCCGTCGGCAGTGGCCTTTTGGAGAGCTTCGTGGTAGCCTGTGAGACTGGCGCAGTTGAAATGGACGTGGTCGTCGCGGTCTCCGCGTGAGTGCTCGTGCATCAAGCCGAAGATGTGACCTGAACAGATACGATTAGTTACCGCTTGTATCCTAATGGAGGAGAAATAGTTGTACCTAGCTCGTGAGCTACGACTGTCTACCTGTTAGCGGGTCCGGACAATCGAAAATTGCTTGTCAACTTACCCCAGGCCAGATCTCTATTCGGTGCTTGTTCCGCGTTGCCGATACTCAATTGATGACGACCAGGTGAACCTTCAGACCTACATCCCAAAGAAGACGCTGCTGCCCAGCCCCCTGGAGCACCACGCTTGATAACGACGGTGTCTGCTGGAAACAACTGATTCCAATCGCCATTCGCCAGATAGCAGTAGATGTCCTGGCCAGGAACAAGGCGCCGTGTAAAGAGCAGTGAATGGCCGCTCTCTTTGCCCCAGCGACCAAGAGAACGCTGCCACGCTCCCCAGCCCTCCGCTATAACCCCTTCCAGCTCATCTTTGGCAGCCTTGTTTTCGTAGCAGTAGGCGATTTCGGTCTTGCCGCTGTTATCGGGGTGCTTCGGCCAGCGACCGCTCTTGTCGGCGCCAAACCTAGGGATGTTAGTATCGTGGCGTTTAAAAGGTTGCGGGACTACCAACGAATCGCCGAACCAGCCCATACCTCCCTTGGGAGCGCTAGCTTTGATGTTAGTAAAGATAAAGAGACAGGAAGTACCGCGACGGCGCACCAGGCAAAGAGTATCAGGAGTATTATAAGCAACATCGTGGCTATAGTGTATCGTCCCCCTCCGAGTGCACTTTGTTCCAACAAGGGGAATTTATTTAGTGTAGTGATATGGAATGCATCGAGGGAAGACAGATCCAAAGGCGGTAATAAACCCAGAATCTATGCTTCCGCCCAAGTTCAGTGTAGCGGTGGGAATTCGGTCCAGATCTTGGCAGCTATAGTAGTACAGAGTGAAAGGTTCTCGTGTGTATTACGCCTCCGATTTCTGCTTTCTCTCGTCCCAGTGTCATCACTTTGACTTTCCAGAAAGGTACGATAAGCTCGGTATTTGCAAATCTACCGACATCATGCCAGAAGCACATGAAGATATCCAGCAAGATACATACAATCATTCTTGAAGACAGGAACCGATGAGGTCGATGTGACGCCAGAATGCTTGATAAACAAGAAAACGCGCTTTTGACTCGGACTGCGGTCTGCTGTTGCTTCCTGATGGTCGCTGGAGGTGTATATTAGGGTGGGAATACATCAGAATGGCGTTCAGATGTCCCCTGAAGAGTCGACGCCACCAGGGCAGGATGCACCTTCATTCACACTGGTTATAGAGAACACTCGGGCATGTTGTAGCTGTCCACAAGTCATCATTGTAGCAGGAGAAGCGCGGTTCGTGTGAGAGATGTCGTGCCGGAATAGGAGTACTGTGCCTGGGTAGGTGCCCAGGTGTCCGCCGCCCAAGAACGCGTGTGCGTGTCGCGCTAGGCACTCCAAAGGAGACTAGCGTTGCGCGCCGCATGCCCAGGTGCGGACGGCAGCGGCAACTCACCAGCACCGGAGCTCCTGAACCTCCACGGTGCTCTCTTCTTTCTACGTGCCTGGTTGCATCACCTGTCACGAATCTTGCGCCACTGTTGTCGCATCTTCCAAGGGGCTGCGCTGCATTGGCTTTCTCCGCGCACGCGACCTCGCATTGCACATATGGATTCTAACGACATCCGTTGACGGAGGTCTGTTCTCACCCGCACTTCAACGAAGAAGGCTGAGTACTTGCTTGATGCTGCCAGGCATTCAAAATCGCCAAGTGTGCATGGCGCTAACCTCGTAGGTCATCTGCATGCGATCGTTCAAGGATGTGGATGAGGGGCGCAGCTGAAGCGGACATGTCTTCACGCCACTTCATGCATCTGGTTCGTTCTTCAGGATTCGCGCTGAGATGGTGCATCCAGATGAAACCCACAGCATTATCTCCAGGATCTCCAAGCATTCAGACGTTACCACTTGCTTTTGCTGGCTCGCTTTGCGACAGCATTCTATCAAAGCTGAAGCCCCACTTTCTTCGCCCCCACGGTAGCGCAAGCGCGGCGCAATCGGATCACGACCTCCATGAGACTTCTGAATGCCAGGACATATGAGTTCCACGATGTGTCGGGTGCGATCAAGCCTAACTACGCGATCTTATCGCATACATGGGAAGAAGATGGGGAAGTGGTCTTCGAAGATATCCGTGACACGTCCAGGGCCAAATGGAGTGCTAAGAAAGGCTACTTCAAGATCAAGAAAACATGTGAACAAGCCTTGCAAGATGGATGCGACTTCGTTTGGATAGACACATGCAACATCAACAAGGACAGCAGCACAGAGCTCTCGGAAGCTATCAACTCCATGTTTCGGTGGTACCGCGACGCTGTTATCTGCTACGCTTACATCTCCGATATCAGATCTGGGGACCGGCGTTCGTTGTCCGAGTGTCGCTGGCTCACTCGAGGTTGGACGCTACAGGAGATGATCGCTCCAGATCGCGTCCATTTCTACGACATGAACTGGGATTACCTTGGCAGTCGCATCTCTCTTGCGGCGCAACTCTCGGAAAGCAGTGGCATCCACACGTCGGTATTACTGCGAAGACATCGTGGACAGATGGGCTTCCAAATACCGACAGAGAAAGGTCATTTGGTCATGAATCTTACAGCTGAACTTGACAACAGCTCATTTTCGCGAACTACAGTCAACGAGAGCGAGTGCCAATGCTGCACAAGTACTGAAGAAGATGACGTACAGTCAATGCTGGATGGATTTAGCGTGGCGCAAAAGATGAAATGGGCTTCTGCACGAACGACAACGCGAGAGGAAGACCTCGCCTATTGTCTGATGGGGCTATTTGACGTGAACATGCCCCTCCTGTACGGCGAAGGGAAGAAAGCTTTCTATCGACTGCAAAAAGCCATCCTTGGTATATCGTCAGACCATTCTATTTTGGCATTTCGGTCAGATCCGTCAGAGGATCTCGTTGCCGAACAGTCGCCGTTACTAGCATCACACCCTATATTCTTCCGCGATGAGATACTAAACATGCACATGCCGGCTCGCGGTACGCACACTACTCTTTCAGGGACTACGCTATCTGTCGAGATGCTCATATGCCCGCTGGAAGGCAACGGAACACTTCGCGACGAGTACCTTGGCATTCTGGACTGCTCAATAGATGGAGATCCTTCCATGAGACCGGCTATCTTACTGTCACCTGTGCATAGAAAGAAGCTAATCTTCCGGCGAAGTTCCGGTGATGTCACTCTTTTCCGGCTAGGATCAAAGCACCCTACGGAGGCTGTTCTGGTAACCGACCGCCAGCTGAAACCCGAAGAACGTATGCTTACGAGAGAACCATATGCTTAAAAGGCAGCAGCTAATCGTTGTAGTGATGTGGGTATCCCAGGGATTACGATACGATTCCAGCAACATGAAGCGAGCTCGAATCACCCTCGTTGGCGAAAAGGCCACCAATCAAAAACAGAGCCATGCTAAAGCGCCCATACGCGTCAACGTATCTCCAATCTTCCACGAGCTGGGGTTTCATGTCACGTCGTTACCGCCTCTAGTCGCCGGGCACCTGCCCGACGCTACATCCCGCCTCGGCAGTATAGAATTCTCCAGTACACATGCTGGACGGTTTTGCGTGGACTGGAGTCAGCCCTCTCCCGGACAACTACAATGCAGCATCTCAGCAGATTTACAACCCGGAGACTTTGGCATGATACAAGAACGGACAGTTCCCACCGTCAACCTAGAGTTCGAGTCTAGAGATGCTTGTACGACCACACCACTCGAAACGGTATGCGAGTCAGAAAACGTACTACTCGGCGTTGTGGTCCCCGGGACGGCTCGTCTCAAGGCCTGGATTTCGATCTCCAGAGAGACTTTCATCGGAAGAAGTCGCTTTGAGTTGAGCATCGATGCAAAGCTCGTGACGCTAAAGAACAATAGGGAATCAAGCGCTCCTCCGACACGGGTACGAGACATGTGGGCGAAGCAAATACCGTCACTTAAAGGGGTGGGTGATGGGCCACTACGACTACCGCATCGCCAACGAGATCAAAAACCACCTGCGACAGAGGAAAGGAAAGAGAGAAAGATCAAGGCGTCAAACGAATATGATTGACACATGGCTACACGATTAATCCAAGCTCAGCGTACGACGAAGCCCTTTTTACAATCTGCTTATACGATATGTTCGATTGCGTACCACATCATACACATCCGCTTATCGCGACTTAACAAGAAGTCGCATCTTCGAAGAATTTTGCTGCTCAGCAGAATGTGAACACCAAAGCTCCTTCTGAGCACGCAAATCATTATCAGCCCGCCCAATCGCGATATTCTCATGCCCCAGCCTCCTCCTTCATCTCGATCTCCTCCTTCACATCCTCCACCTCCCTAACCTCCACAACCCCCTTAAGCACCTTCTCCCAAACCCTCCTCGCAACCCTAAAACTCCTACACCACTCCTCCCAATCCCCTACTACATCCCTCTCCAACCACTCACCTCCCCTCGCAGCCACATGTTCTATGTACTCAACAGTCAACTCTTCTTCTTCGTCTTCATCTCCAGCATCCCCATTCTTCCCATCCCCTTCCTTCCCATCCCCACCCCCCTTCCCATCCCCACCTTCCACCCCGTCGCCCTTCTTGCCATGACTCTTCTTCTCATCAGCCCGTGCTTTCATATCAGGATCAACAGCCGTCCATTCCAACAGTCTCGCCTCTACTAAATCAGATATACCGCACGGCGTAAAGAGTATCTGCACAACGTCTTCCGGGTTGACTTGTTTGGTGTCTGCGTCTGCTTCGGGAGCGAGGGCGTAGTACCCGAGTGCGTGGCGCCCGTCTTCGTATAGGTTCGGCAAGAAGAGGATTGTCATCGCCGTGTCTGTCTCCTTCTTCTCGTGGGGCGTGTCTTCTGTGAAAGCGGGGTGGTTGGCTTTCGGCTTCTGCGGGTGGTTTGACGCTTCGGACGCCCCCAACGCTTCAGATGACTCGGACGACAGGGCTGAGAGGCTTGGTATACCAGGAAGCCTCGCATTCGCCAATAAATTGGGTAAATGCGTAATCGCCGAGTCGAAATTTATAAACGGCAGATTCCTCTCTGCGACACGTAGGATAGCGAGGAAGACGGCGGGATTGGTGGTTGTAGCGCGGTAGATATATTCTACGTAGTTAGGGCGGTTGCAGCGCGGTTTGGGTAGCTTGGTGTAGTCGATGATTGTGTCGCTGATTTCGGGCACGTAGGTACGTTCGTCTCGCTTGGGCTTGGGGTTGGCGGCTTTGGCGTTGGAATTCTCATCGTCATCGTCGTCCTCATCATTCTTCTCATCCCCGTCTTCATCCCCATCCCCATCACCAACAGACTCAGACCCTAAGGGTGTGACCGCATCCTTCGGAATAGTCATCTTCATATCCTCCGCATAGTTCGTCGTGATATGCGCATACGTCTTCTTCAGCGTGAGTTTATGCCGGTAGTCCAGTAGACCACGCCTGTAGCCCGGGGCGGTGTCGAGTTCAGTGGTGTTGACTACGATGTCGTCTTGGTGCGAGTCGAAGGGGTATCGCTTTTCTTTCTTCGGCTTTGCGGGTTGCTGGGCAGATGGGGCCGCGGGGGGTTTGGGGGGGACGATCGTGGGGACGGTGCGTTTGGCGGGTGCGTGGTGGGGAGGTTGTGTCATTGTTGCGGGTGGGTTGGCGGGCGGTGGGCGGTGGTGGTAGGTGGTAGGTGGTAGGTGTTCTGGCTATGGAGACGAGGGCGTGGCGGACGAGGTTATTGAGAAGTGCGGGCTGTAGGGATTAGTTTGAAGAAATCATCGGTCACTGCGAGGTCGAGATATATGTCCGTGCAGGGACTGCGCTTGTTATTACTCCTTCACTACATTCTCGCAAGCCAAGGCGACTATACAGCTACTGTTTCCACACAAGCGCTAATCAGACTCGTCGTCCGTGTCTACACCAAGTACAAGCGATATCTTGTCATCGTCACTGTCCTCGTCGTCGAGGTCTCCTTCACCTGGCTCGGGTAGTTCAGGGACTGCCGAGGCGGTGCTGGTAGCGGCGAAATCTGACGTAGCGGCTACCTCCGTAGTAGGAGCGGATTTGCTGAAAGATACAGACGCTGTTGGCGCAGGAGGTATTGGGTGTGCTGTGCGCTGCTCGTCTTCGCCAGTCTTTGCTCGCTTGGAAGGCGAGAGAGGACCATCTTCGCCTATCGGCCGCTTGGTTTCGCTGAATGCGGTAGGCTCAGAGATGGTAGGGCGTTGCGCAAGCGTACCCTTGCGAACCGATCGTGGAGTTGAGAGGTCAGGTTTGCTAGGTGTTGGGGCATCTTCCATAGCAAAGTCCTTCGCTGCCGTGTCTGATTGCCCAGCGGTTTCCAGCAGATTGTCCAACTCTTGTCCAGCAAAGTGGTCATCCACCTGCTCTAGAGCTTGCTGCTCTTCTTCTTCTTCAACTTCTTCATCCTCAACCTCCATCTCTTCGTCTTCATCGTTGCCATCATCCAACTCCAAATCCTTGCCACCCAGGCGGATGACTGGCATCCTTGGTCTGAGCATACCCTCTACGTCCATCTCAGCGGAGAAGGACCGAGCCATGAGTGGTAGTATGCTTGCTGCGGGCTTTCCAAACTTCTTGCTCGGTGGTGGGTTCAACACACTAGCTACCATGGCTTCCTTGTGCTGGGTGAGAATGGCGGTGCGGTCCAGACGAGCGCGCATTGAGTCGGATAGGTATTGAGCTGGGATGCTTGAAAGTAGGATCGGGAGCAGATCGTGCGCGGCTTGTTGGAGTCCAGGGAATCCAGCGTTGGGGCCGCCGGCGTTCTTCGCAGCGCCAAGGAAGCTATCGGCGTTGGCAGTGGTCTGGGGCTGACTGTTGCCATTGGCCTTAGCCTGGCCGGGAGTCTGTTGGTTTGTAGGCGCCGCGGTTTCGGACGGTAGTAGATCGTCGCAGCAAGCGCGAATGAGAGTTACGAGGGAATCGATGGTAGTTTTGTGGAGAGCGACTCCAGATCTCCTCAACAAAGCAGCAATCGCCGTGTAGCATGCTGTTCTAATCTGAGCTGTCTCTTTTTCCGCACTAAATACCCACACAAGTTGGTCAATGATGGCTGGGTCCAGAGCCAACGTGCTGCTCTGGGATCTGTGTGCTAGAGCAAGAAGCACTTCAATCGCGGCGACATGCACGTCTGGCAACAATAACCAAAGACTTTCACGCTCGTCCTTGCTGACTTGGGCATTTAGACGTACGGTGTTCTGGAAGTTCTTGCTCGCCGCCACGGGAATGGTAAGGGAAAGCATTCTCGAGAGTAGGTCAACGATCATGCCAACGTTGACATACACAGTGTTCGACGTGGGGCTTTCGATGTACTCCTTGATGACGTAGAGAAGGCCTGTCAACCGTTCGCCACCAGCGAAGATTCCCGACCAGGCGGATAGATCCGAGCCCGGCTCCAGGTCTTGAACTTCGTCATCCAGTGTGTTACCGTTCGAAAGAGGTGCTTCACGTGCCGTCGATTGCCAGTCCTCGATCACAGCGCGGAACACACGGTCTGTTGTCTGATGTGTAACGTTTGTGATGTTCTTGACAGCCTTTGTCCACTCTTCGCTCGAAGCTCCTTTTGGTGCACAGCAAGGTAATTGGACGTAAAGTTGGCGCGCCGCAGCTGCGATGTCCGAGCTAGCCCCATGATTGGTTCCAGTTTGCTGCTCCTGGCTGAGTTTATCAGATGGCGTGGGTGCGATGAGACGTCCGAGAAGCGGGTAAAGTTGCTTTAAATAAGACCGGAAGATAGTAGGGTGTCGGGGCAGCAGCTCGTTGAAGCTTTCTAGGATGATCTGTAGCAGACTGACGGGGGTAGCTTTGGCATTTGCTATCTGCAGACAAACTTGGACGAAAGGTGATAGCGACGGAGTAGTGATTTCGCGGATCAGCGTCGGGTACTCTCTGGTCAGAAGGAAGATGCGCGTCAGGGTGATGATGCAGAGCTTCTTTGACGACGGCGAATCCGGCTTATTCAAGAATCCTAGAAGACCACGCACCCATGGCAAACTCTTCTGCAGAGTCTCCCAACCCCCAACTTCAGTCGTGGCCTTGATCAAGACTATGGCACACCATCTTCCTTGGGGAGTCCGGTCTTGGAGCAGAGTGGTGAGTAGAGTGCGGTACTTGTGTATAGCAACGGATGCTTCCGACGACGTCGCTTTGGTACCTGAAGCCTGGGCCGAAGAGAGGAGGGCCCTGCAATTGGCCAATGACGCAGCTATGGCAGGCACGTGTTGGGGGAGCTGGGATGTTGGCGTGGACGAGATGCGGAAACTGAGCGCTCGCAGCGTCGCCAGTTCGGAAGCAATGGGCGCCATGGTGATGACGATTCCCCTGGTTATTGATTTGATCAGCCCGTCTCTGATCAGCGGAATGGTTGTCGTCGATGGCTGGTAGAAAAAAGTTCAAGGCCCGGAGTTAGCGTCGGACCGCACGCGCTAGAGCTGCAGGGATGTGCGGGCCAACTGCACAGAAGAGTGGGACTTGTGCAGTCGGTCAGTGACATGTGTACAGCCATGGCCGGCGTCGTCGCATTCAGTATTGCTCGTCGAACATGATTCTACAGATATCGCGACCCTGTCCAGAGCCAAAGGCATATTCTTAGCACCATGGTGGTATGTCGAGGTTGCTGTCCTCCCTCTCCCCTGGCGCCGAAGCAACGTCATCTTCAACAACGGTAGCTTACAGGACCTACAGACCCCCCCTGAGAGCGAAAAGGCCAAGCGCTACATACAGCAGCTGGACGAGGCACGATGCGCCGGACGATGGGCCGACGTGCCTGAGTTGTGTCGCAAGGTCGAGAAGCATGCGCCGCACCGACGATGTCAGCAAACCTCTCTGTTTGGTCTTTCTGAGGGCTAACGGCGACCCAAGGCCTCACCCTCACAGCGCGCTCCGACGCCCAGATAGCCGCACACAGCACCAAGAGGCCCTCGACCGCCTCCTCTGCCGCCTCTACCACCGGCCTGTCACAGATCATACCCTCGCTGCTCGCAACAATCGAAGAAGATGGCACGCAGGGTCAAGACGCCTTCCAGGCCAACGTCTGCCTCGGCTGGGCCCACTACGTGCTGGACGAGCCGGGACTGGCAGTGGCGCGGCTTCCACAGGACTTTGGGGCAGTCGCGACCCAGCTGTCGGGCGAAGCAGGCACCTTGAGTGGCTGGTCTCGGGTGTGTCTGGTCAAGGGCACATTTCTCAAAGGTACAGCTACACTGTGTGACCTCATTCTGGCTCCGGAACTGACGCAATCTAGGCTCCGCGCTCGAAAAGACAGGTGCAATTGGTGAGGCAGCCACCATCTACTCGTCAATAATACCCTGGCTGTCCACCACTACCACCCCGAACACCGAATCGGCCCAGTTCAAGATGTGGGGAGAGCAGTCCCTCGTCCGCCTCTGTCAGCTGTCCGACCAGTCCACGGGCCTCAGCGAGCGAATCAACGCGTCCGAGGCTCTGCGCACCTACCGCTACTGGGCGAAGTTCTGGGATGCAACCTCCAAGAACGCCGCATCAGACGTGGGTAACTCAGCACGGTATCGAAGATTAGCGTGGAAGGCCTACTACGACTCGCTATCAACCATCCTCCGCTATGACCTCGCCTACGAACCCGATTCCACGCCCATCATACAAGAGAAGCCAACGCCTACCGCCCAGTCAGACGCTCGATTACGGCAGCGGGCGGAGCTGAAACGGGTCGAAGCTGTCTACGAGAACCTGTTGATAAGAGAGACACACTTTCCCAAAGCCAGTGAGACCAATCATGAAGTCGAAACGTGGGTGGACTCCGTCATGGACAACTGGCGCCTCCTCTGCGGTCCCACCTGGAGCGACGATGATCTAGGCGAAGGAGGGAAAGAGGGTGTCGCGCGAGGCGTGCTTGATGTAAGTTACTCATCTGCCCCGAGAAGATCCAGTGACTAATAACATCTAGATCCTCTATCGAGCAGCCACCAAGACGTACCACTCGACCCAGATCCTGCGCAACCTCTTCGTTGTCCACGCATCTCTAGCCGAGCCTGAACTGGCATACAAAGCCTACGACTCCTATGTCGAGATCATCACGCGGAACAAGGATCGATCGGAAAAGTCAGGCGAACTCGAGGCTGGCATTGACGACGACAGCACGGTTTTGAGGACTTCCGCCGAGGCCATCAGGATGCTCTGTAGATGGGGATCTAGGCATGACGCCGAAAAGGCTCTCGAGATTGCTCACAGTATCGAGCACTGGTTGGAGCAGGCAGATCACCTTCACTCAACGTCTGATACCCGCTCAATTGCTTCGAGCACATCTTTCGTCGAACCCACGGCCCTAGCTGCCGCCTATTGCGCCATTGGCATCAGTCAAGCACACTGGGCACGGCTCACGTACGAGGTTGAGGCACGGGCCACGATCCAGGCCAAAGCTGTGCAGTACCTCAGGAAGTCGCTTTCACCTAATCTCGGCGACGAACATAATGTGGAAGCTCTGTACGCCCTCGCTTTGGTTCTCGCGGAAACAAGGGACATCCTCGGTGCCATCAAAATCGCTAAGCGTGCACTCTCTCCAGCAACAAAGGGCACGACGGTCAGTGTAGACGGAGTTCTGTCGGATGGCATCACCACTGAATATGGACGCGAACGCAAGTTGATACCCGTGTGGCATCTTCTTGCCCTGCTTTTGACGTCACGGTCTGAGTTTACCGCTGCTGAGAAGGCATGCGAGGCGGCTTTCGAACAATTTGGCGATCCTGCTGTCCTGTTCGGCCGTGACTCGGGCGCATTCCGAAGCGAACACCTCCAAGAGGCTGCCGGTCAAGAGCCTCTTGAATCTGGTATTGTCGATCGCATGGAGCGTTTCGAAAAGAGCAACATACTGCAGATCAAGATGACGCAGCTGTCTCTTCTTGAGATCACCGATGGTGCCACCGCTGCGGTTGACGGATGTGACGAGCTCCTTGCACTGTACGGTCGACTGTTCGGCGATCCGGCAGCTGACAAAGTCAAGACTCCACCCGAACCTGCGTCGCTGGCGCCTCCAAAGACCGCCTCGGGCACACGAGGTAGTATCTTCCGCGGACGAGGGTCAGTCAGAACGACTCAGCAAGAAAATGTTGATCGAAGTAAATCTGTGGTCAGCTCCAAGACAGCTACCACACAACCGGAAGTGCCTCCTGCGATTCAAGTCACTGATGACAACGGCGCAGCTCCTACTAACGGTCATCATCGACATCATCTGTTCCACCACCACAAGCAGGATGATGGCCAGGCCGGCAAAGACACTGTTCCAGAGGTACCACCGCTTCCAGAACACGTTCCAAACAGCACTCGTGCACGCAGTAACACTGCAAACTCAAAATCGCCTCGACGCATTTCCAATCCCAGCTCTCCAGGAAAGTCGATAGAAAAGGGTGACACACCACTTCCACCCGTCGCCCATAACCTAGATCACTCCTCTCCGCCTCTGGGTCACGAAGAGCAACCCCCCAGACAGGATACTCGCTTGCCTTCGCGCCTGCCACATGCTGACTACATACCTGCGGATCCCCACTTTTCCAAAATCCAAGAACGTCGTCAGAAAGTCTCGTTGCTGGTCAGCATATGGATCTTCATCTCTGGATTATATGCAAGAGCGCACATGTTCCAGGATGCTAGGGAAGCTGTTGCTGAGGCATTGAAGCTAGTGGAGACATTTGAAGCAGAAGTGTCATTGGAGCACTCAACAGCAAAGGCGCTCGCGGACAAGGGGTGGGGTGGAGGCAAGAGTGTGGAGGAGTTATGGGCGGATGTGTTCGCTGCTGTAAGTCTCCCAATATCTTCGATGTTACCTCTACTGACATTGCTACAGCGCGCAGAACAGCTTGTAGCCCAGTCGATGAAGCATGAAGCTCGCGCAGACTTTGAGCGCGCTCTACAACATTTCCCAGACCACCCCGAGGCCATCGTTGGTCTATCGAACATCCTTTTGGATATCTACAGCGAGGTCATACCGCTGGAGCCTGCCAACACCGACACCGTCTCCGCTCCGCTACAGTCATCGGCCTCTTCAATTCATACAAAGACGTCGACATCGAAGACACAATACCTAACCTCTCACACACCGTCGGTAGAGAACCAGCTCTCATCACCCACGCTCACCCGTCTAGCGGCCCGTGACCGCGCATTTGGTTTACTGTCCACTCTCACAAAGCTCGGCGCCGGCTGGGACTATTCGGAAGCGTGGTACGCGATGGCTAGGGCCTACGAGGAGAGTGGGCAAATCGACAAGACAAAAGAGGTACTCTGGTGGTGTGTAGAATTGGAAGATACGCATCCCGTGCGCAGCTGGAAGGTAGTCACAACCGGCGGCTTTGTACTATGATTGAGATTGCAATAATCGTACGTAGATTGGGCTGTCCGTATACCCATCCTAATTATGCAAGTTTGGATCTCTGTTAGAACCATCACTCCAGCAATCTCTCCACACTGACTAGAACATTGAAGTGACCCCCTTCCCAACATCCCATCCTGCCCGTGCACCTCAAACTAAATCCCCCACCCCCAACCCCCCATAATAAACAACCCCCCTCCCCCTCATCCCCGCACTCTTCACCCCCTTAAGCACACTCTTATGCACCACAGCCTCCCTCATCCCCCACCCCTCCGCTCCCCCAGCCCAACCCCTTAACACCCCACCCTCCCCATCCAAAAACCTCACTTTGATACTCAAACACACCGTCGTCGCGCGGCGGCACGTAAACGCCCAGCACGCATGATACACCATGCGTTGCAGCAACCAAGACAGGTTTGTGTGGCCAGGCCGCGAGCGAGCCAGATAAGGATGCGCAGGGAAGAATATCCGATACGCGATACTGCGGGGGAGGGAGGTGGTTGCTGTGATGGGGCCGCCGGTGAAGGACACGGGTATGTCGATTAGGATGTTGAGAGGGGGGTAGGTGTGGAGGGTTGGTGGGGGGATGCATGTCGCTATGTAGGAAAGGATTCGGAGGATGAATGTTGTTACTGCTTCTAGCACGCCCACATCTGGCGTCGAATTGAGAGTCCACATCCTGAGCCTCTTGGCTAGCTGCTCGGACGTGATTCCGCCCTCTCGGTAACGCCGGATAGAACGGATTGTGAAGTCTCGTCTTCGCGGTTCTATGCGGTGGAAGAGGAAGGTCCAGAATGTGGGTTGGAAACGGAAGGAGTCGTGCAGGTTTATCACCCCCAGCATGTGGTCTGCGTGTATTATTATTGTGGGGGCGGAGTGTCTTATGGAGGAGAGGTGCGGGGAGAGGATGTAGGATGCTTCTGTGTGGATTTGGTGGTTTGTGGCGAGGAGGGAGATGCCGGGGATTGTGGTTGTTACCAAGGTAAGGTGGTGTGGGCCGGATTTGAGGGGGATGGTGTGGTGTTGGGTTCTGGGGACGAGGTGGGTAAATATCTTTTGTCGGAGTTCTTTGGGGAGGGAGAGTAGGGGGAAGGGCTTTGGCGGTATGGAGGCTGGCGGTGGTGAGGATGTGGGTTTTCCTGACGACGGGAGCGAGGGAGGTGGTTCTGTTGGGCCCATAGTTGTGCCGGGATGCGCGGGCTGTAGGATTTGTTGGTGTGGTAGCTGATGTTGCCCAGGTGTGACTCTGTAGTCTGGTTTTAGGCGGGTGATTATCTGTCTCATTAGAAGAACTCGGAGTTTGTGATGAGTGAGACAGTAAGATGAGATCGTCTTTCACCGTTACAAGCGAGCAGAGGCATTTTCGTTCCACAGTGTTGGTTTCAGGGTCGAGAAGTGGATTCTGGTTACCCACGTGTGTTCCAAACTATAGCATTGCTCTCCGAACGCGGAGTTACGAGATGTGACTAGAATCGGTGTTGCATACGTGCTTTCAACGCTGCATAAGTAGATGCGAATATGCTGCATACTTCTACTTTGATGATATTCATGTAGATGCGTAGCCACACCTAGTGTGGTCAAGGTCTTTGCTATGACCAGAACGTGGTGGTCAAAGTATTGTGAATTTGCAAGCATGATTTGCGCATCGATCTCACCTCGATGCTACTAAACGAAGTTGAAGTACTGGTTGATAGGCAGCCTCCATGACTTGCTTAACATGGAGACGTGATCAACGTAGGTTGAGTGTCGTGCTGGACGATCGTTGCGTCTCCATGACTGACGCATGCATCGCCTGAAACCGAAGCTATCAATAACAGAGAGCGGAAGTGTGTCAATGTCGAATTGCGCAGTTGCATAGCTAGTGAAGGTGTAGGGGAGGTTGATAGTAAGGCACGCGCGACGCCAGACGCGTCAACGCCACGACCTGACGTCATTGGTCGGAGCGAAGACACCCGTGGACGAGCTACCTTGGACACGAACCTTCGCGTCTTTCACCACCGGCACCACTCATCTCAATACACTATGACTCCGTCCTTGCTTATCGTTGAGACTCAAATGAGTGCATTTCGCATTACTGCAATAATTTCTTCGACACTGGCTCGCTCAATCCCGTGTTGATCGCGTCCCAATGCGGCTTCCACAACTATGAGGCGCGATGGGAGTGGTTGCTAATGTGTCATAGCTCTTGCCCATAGCGATGACTGACATGGCAAGCATGGATGATGCGGAGGCTGTCGCAAAGAGCGTGGATGTCATCTGCAGCCCGGACTTGTTTGTTGACGCATCAGACCGAAACATTCCATCGATCCATCGCAACGCTGCCATTCATAACGCATCGGAGTTGTTACGAGACTTTCAGCACGAGTTATCCTGGTCTTGGGTATTGCTACTACTGCAGCACTCAACATGAAGGCCGCTTTCCTGCTTCGTGTGCTTTCGGCCACGTCGCTCCTCGTCAATGCAAACGCCAATTCGATCGATCACCAGCAGCGGGACGGTTCACTTGATGACTCTATCAAAGCTCAGCAGATTATTTCCATGAATGGGATGCTTAGCAACGTTGACGGCTCTTGGGGAACCCCGAGTGGCATGATGCTTGCGAGTCGGTCGGATCCAGATCGTATGTGCTTTGAACCCTCGATGGTTAACTGAAGGCTAACTATCAAGACTTGCACACGTGGAAAAGAACAGCTGCGTTAGATCTTCAACAAGATGTCCTCGCACTTCGTACTACAGCTCTTATAGGCGATGCTAAACATATACTTGCGGAAGCAAAAGGCGCAAAACAGTACTCACGCGCGCAGAAGACCGTCAAAGCTACGTTATGGCCCACCATCACGGATGATCTAGAAATTATTGCTCGGTCCTGGAATCGAACCAGTCCTGATGTGTGGAAAGAGACGAATGCTTCTTCGTTCTTCACTCTCTCAGCATCACATCGCGCTCTGGTCGAAGGACTGGCACTTTCAGAGACGTTGAACCGAACCTGCGACGGCTGCACTTCTGCCGTGCCACAGATATTCTGTTTCATGAGCAGTTTCTGGGGCGATAATTATATGCACGCAAATCTCAACGCCAAAGACCAAAGGAGCGGGATAGACGCGAGCTCTATCCTCTCTTCTATCAACACGTACGATCCTCAAGCCGGCTGCACAAACAGTACCTTCCAGCCATGCTCTTCCAGAGCCCTGGCCAATCACAAAACAGTAACCGACTCTTTCCGCCCTCTATACGGTATCAACAATGGCATTGCACAAGGCCAGGGAGTTGCCGTTGGAAGATACCCAGAGGATTCTGATCACGGCGGTAACCCGTGGTATGTGACCACACTCGCGGCCGCGGAGCAGCTGTACCTGGCCAGACTCCAATGGCTCGAACTTGAAAGTTTGAGTGTCGATAAAACTTCGCTACCCTTCTTTCGAGACCTATTACCGGGGATCCATGTTGGTACTTATGGCTGTGGTGATCTATACACCTCTCGAGCCAACAGAGAGTTCAAGTCAATCCTCTCTACCGTACGCGACTATGCCGACAGCTATTTAGCGATCGTACAAAATCACGGATCTCCAGATCATGGGTTTCCAGAGCAGTTCAGCCGGGACAACGGCACACCTATGTCGAACTCTAGTTTCGCCTGGTCGAACACCGCCTATAACACGACGATCAATCGTCGTGCTGGTCTCAAAGGCGATAGCTGGGGCGAACCGCTAAATAACGCTGTCGATACGTCGCAATGCTACTGTCACGCTCGTGTGACCTTCCAGGTTCGCTCAGATCCAGGGATCCAGATGTTTGTTGTTGGCAATGTCCCAGAGCTCGGCAATTGGAATACGAGTCAGGCTAGATGGTTGAATGATGGTCGTCCGCATCTTGACGAGCACCATCAGTATTACTCGAATTACTCTAGTCAGCTCGATGTACCCGCGTTGTCAAGGATAACTTACCATTACTACATACGGGCTGATACCCCTCATGAGGAAATCCACAACAGGCATAGGTTTGTTTACACGGGCGAATGTGGAAGCAACGTTGACACAGTTGGCGATGTTTTTTACGCTGGTCACGGTCATCTACAATGACAATCGACTTATGGTTGGGAAATGGCATCGCAACGTTGAGGTTGGTTCGCTCTGCATTCTTAACATGAGTCACTCCTAGTTGCTCAGCTCACAATACATGTCATTCTCATCAAGATGTCGGTCTGAAGTCCTGCTCATTCTTTTGCCCTTTCAAATCAACGCGGCTGAGCAACATTCCTCTCTACTGATACATACACAGTCTCTAGTAAAGGTTCTGCGACACCCTACATCCTATCACATTTATGTTACACCCTCAAGCTGGGCGGTTAACATGGCAATACCAGAACGCAGGAGCAATTCAGAGTAACTTGTCTGCACCTTGTGTCAGCTTCATTACACAAAGTTACTACGCGGCACAAACATACCGTGACCTGCTAAACGCAGTCTTGCGGAACCCAAGCTTCGATCCATTCTCCGTACTCAAGGTCAAAGTGCTCGACAAAGTAACCAAATCTACCACCTGGAGAGGGGCCGCGCAATGGAACATACTGCGACACGGAATGAGCTGCAAACATTAGAGGCGCTGTACAAACTCTAAATCGGATGTCGCGTCGTTGAGCCAGATACGGTCGCTCGGCTGCATCCTCGAATCGAAGCAAGGAAGCAACGGTTTCTTGACGGCCCATCGACAGTACATGCATGGCGTCAATGGCAATGTCAATCGCTCTGGCTCTTGGTCGCATTTGAGATAAATGCCAACCAGCTTGACGCGCCCAGTTGATTATAGCCGAGCTATTTGGATCCGAAGCTGAACTCTCGGGCCTAGCGGTCACGCAGCTAGATCCTGTCCTGCGCGCCTCCAAAAACCAGGTCAGAAACTCCGAAGCTGCCTCAAGAGGTCCTTGCTTGCGCGCAATGACTTCCAGATCTCCACATAGGACAATGAGTTTAGGGCCCGATCGCGACACCTTGGAAAAGCCGTCGGCTACTAGTGCGCTATTGCGCTTCGCCGCAGTGCGCGCAATGATTGGTGTAGCTTCTTCTCGGATGATCTTGGAGATGAGGCGTACTGTGGTGGGATACCAAATATTAACGAGCTTGACTTTCGTGGTTTTCATCTTAAGAAGTCCGCTCTCATTGTCCGTCTCGATGGTGATCTCGTTGTGCGTAAGACATGTCGGTAGGAACTCGTAAACCATGAGCCTGATGTCGGCGGGTAGATCAAGGAAGCGGAAGTCCATGGGTGTGGGCGGTAAAGAATGGCTCATGGCGGGTGTCGTGTTGGTAATTTGGGGGTTATGTCAGTTTCCAGCATTTGAAAAAATAACTAGCGTGACTTTTGTGACTAGATAAACGACAGTGAAAGTGAAAGACACTGACCCGATGTATACGCTCTTCAGACTTAGCTTGTCTGTTGTCGATATATCGACGACAGTTTGGAATGACTCGCCTGGACGTGCCTCTGGCGCCATCAATGAGTCAGTGAACCCTGAGCTCAACCCCGCGACTTCCATCCGTCGCACCCCAGCACAGCACAACATCACCCTCAAGCATGAGCGGGCCAGACGCATATGAACAGCACCGACAGCTTCGCACGTGATGATGGAGACCGCGATCAAGCCTGCAATGAATGCCGCCGACGGAAAGCGCGATGCGACAAGACGCTTCCAGAGTGCGGGCCCTGCAAGAGAAACAGGAGACACTGTCTCTACGAACGGCACAGTAGAACCCCATTGACGCGCAAATATCTCACCCAAGTTGAAGAACAGCTTCGTCGATCACAAGCTCAACTCGCCCGCGCTGAACAACGCGTCCAAGCAGCCGAAGCGCGTGTGCGACAGCTCGAGACCGCCCAGGGCGACGACGCGCCATCTCCCCACGAAGATGTTGCCAACACAAGAGGCACAGCCGACGAACCGTCCATTGAAGTCTCGCTTGAAGGGCCGCCTTCTGGACCAGCTGACTTCAGTTGGGATGAACAATCCCAGGAAAGCGGTCCCGCCGAGACAGACGCCGCGAGCACACATACACATACTTCTCCCGGGGAAGACGAGCGCGTCGTCGATGGCATGGCTTCACTCACCGTGGATGAGAGCGAGGCGGGCTATCTAGGTGTTGCGTCAGGTGCTGCCATGTTGCGACTGCTCCTTCCCGACGCTCAGCAGTCTTCGCGGAAAGCGCCACCCACGCCCAGCTTCAGCACAACTACCCCGGACAATGGGCACTGGCTGTACACAGATCTATGGGATAGCCTTGATCTAGGAGCCGTCGACCTCGATGCCGCTATCAACGGTTACTTCGGCCTCTACCACATCTCGTATCCTATCGTGGAGGAACACACCTTCCGTGCTCAATACGCCCAGGTCATTCCTCGCCCCAACGGCCGTAGCTGGCATGCGCTCGCTTTTATGATCGCTGCGATAGGCCATTTCACAACGGCTACAGGCCCGGCTGACACGGACAGGAGATTGTTCATGGCTGCCAAGTCCAACCTGTCGATTGAGAGCTTGGAAATTGGCAACATCACCCTTGTCCAAACCCTCACGCTCATGTCCAACTACCTGCAGAAACGGAACAAGCCAAATAGTGGGTACAACTATCTTGGTCTTGCCCTTCATATGGCCATTGGTTTAGGACTACACAAGGAGTTCCATCATTGGGACATCACCCCACTCAACATGGAGATCCGCCGACGCGTATGGTGGTGCATGTTTGTCTTCAACATTGGCGCAGCTGTCACATTCGGTCGCCCTCTGGCCTGGCCCAACAAGAATGTTGAAGTTCATTTGCCTTTGAACATTCCTGACAGGGCTTTGACTAATCTGTCACGCACTGCTCCGAGCGAGGCGGACCATGTCACAACGTTCAGTGCCGTTATCATGCAGTCCAAATTCCACATTCTGACAAATGACATATACACGAAGGTCATATCGATGCCATTTCCAGCCGCTACGGAGTTGATTCGTCTCGATGACACCGTAATAGACAGATGGCAATCATCAGTGCCCGATTGGTATCGCCGTGGAGCGACTATGCCCGCTCAATTCGCGACTAGCCATGCTATTATGTGGTGGCGGCTGAGCAACTTCAGGATCATCATGTATCGACCATATGTCATTCGCCGTGTACTACAAGCCAGATCGCAAGACATGGACAATGATGTGCCGGCATCAGTGCAAGAAGCATATGCCAGATGTCTCCGTGAAGCCGAGATGAGCATTGATGCCATCAGTACATTTTGGGCGAGCTCTCCGCCCACGCGGATGTCTGCATGGTACGCATTGTACTTTTTGTTCCAGGCTTCGCTCATACCCTGCGTGTGTTTGCGTAACGAACCTACTTCACCTTCCTCGGCAAGTTGGCGTACGCAAATCAGGCGGACAATGAACACTATGCAGCTATTATCATCGATCAACCCGAGTGCTCAGGATTGCCTGAATGTACTTCAACGTCTCTGTGGCCCGTTCCTACAATCTGAGATTCCTGGACAGGACGCACATGTGCTCGCGACTCCCGCTGGCGACCTGTTGGAACATGCTACCGAGGAGTCCCCACAGACACAGATCAACAACGTCTACAGCATGATGTGGCCGAATGCCAATGATGCTGAGGCTGATGTACTGATGCAGGGGGGACTCTGGTCTGACTTCCTTCCGGACATGGATGACACAGGACAGCCACAATTGAGCAGACCCAATGTCTATTCCGATTCACAATTTGCATGGGGTTGAAGCACGGTTTTGTCTGAACCAAGACACTATGCCAAATCTATTGGTTACAACAAACTACCAATTAACATACCCCGGCTACCTCGATGTGCTGCTTGTCAAACTTTTCTTCCTTTTCCACGAGATTTGCATCAGGCGACGCTCCGGGGCCATCAAAGATCTCAGCAATCTCCTCCAAGCTCCGACCCTTCGTCTCTGGGAAGAAGAAGTACGTGACCCCGAGGAAGACCACCAGCAAACAGCAGAAGACTATATAGTACTTCCAACCCAGGTTTTCCATGCCGACCGGATTGACGAACGCCTGGATGACCAAAGAAACATAGATGGAGAGCAGTTCGCAGCTGATGCCCTTCGATCGGAGACTGTAGGTGAAGATCTCAGTCGGATAGCTCATCAAAAGCGGCGTATATGCGATGTCGTAGTGGAAATAGAAAACGAAGAGGCACACCACCACGACATATCCTGCAGCCTTGTTGTTATCCTCGTTATTGACAGCCGAGCATGCTGTCCAGACAATGTACGAGATTAGCATGCCAATTCCACTCCAGAGGAAAAGAGTTCGTCGTCCCAGTCGATCAACCAAGAGAGCCGCGCTTACAGCTGCGGCGAAGTTGAAGATCTGCAACAGCCCATTAATGAGCGTCTGCATGAATGGATCCGTTATGCCGATGGAGTTTAACACCAGGGTGAGATAGTAGGAAACGACACCTATACCGTTCCACTGTGCAAATCCACCGACACACACGGCGAGGAAGAGCCGCTTCCGGTTGCCAGGGGTGGCAACAAGCGCGCTCCATTGTACCGATTTGGCTGCACTCTCTTGTCGAATGGCGTAAACGATCTCGCTCATCTCTCGGGTAACTAACGGGCTATGTTCGTCACCACCAGAATGGTATCGGGCAAGGATTTGTCGCGCTTCATCTTGCCGCTCTTTGGCGACGAGCCATCTGATTACCGTGTTAGTGCCTATGAAACCATACACAACGCTCGCAGTTCGTACCTGGGAGACTCAGGCAAGGCCCAGAAAAATGCAAGCTGCACTAGTGGATATCCAGCCTGCAAGATTGTCGGTATCCTCCAGCTCCAATTCCCCGAGTGGTTCTGAGTCCCAAACGTTGTCCACGCAGCCAAGATAGCACCGAGGTAGTACATAGTCCAGAAAGCACTTGTGTACTTGCCTCGGTGCGTAGGATAGGCCAGCTCGGCGATTAACATTGGGGAGGGTTGGACGACGAACATTCCCGCAGCGCCCACGACAGCTCGTGAGACAACGAATTGCGCCAATGTTGTTGCTGTTGCTTGTATGATAGTCGCAATGATTACACCGATGAGACCGCTGAACAATACTATGCGCCGGCCATAGCGATCGGAGAGCACCCCGACGAATGGCAGCACGACTACGGAGCCGGCAGACTGTGCCGCGTTGACCAGACCAAGAAGCGCTCCTGTGGGGTGGCCAAAGTATTCTTGCCATTGGGGGAGCGACTGGAGGCCATTCATCAACGAGCCTTTTGAGTGTCAGCAACGTTCATGCGTATCCAACGTCGTGGCGAAGCTAAACTTACCATCATATCCTGCCACAGCTGAGGACAGTAGAGGTACCAATAAGATCAGGTTCAAGCGTCGCAAGTGCGGAATTTGGAACCAGTACTTGTTGGTCTGAGGCAGCACCTCCGCTATGGCATGACCAACGATATCGGCGTCTTTCATGGTTGCAATCGTGATGACAGTGGAAACAATAGTCGAGGAAAGTCTTTTGATCAACCAGCAAGGAAGCTTCAAATATCGGTCAACATCTCGGATATATATACGGTCTTGCATGACCCGGCTATGGGGTATGCCAACATGCGGCACATGGCTTTGTTACCCCAGGTTCTGCCCGTCGGTTCATGCTAGTGAAATGCGGGTTGCAGCGACGATCGGGATGGAATGGGGTGATGCGCGAGTCATGTTGGGTGGACGGTCGACTGTCACCCCAACGCTAACTGCGTCATATCAGCCTAGCCCGGGGAATCTCGTTACGGGGCACAGTCGACCATCGGGTGCCTGACACTCCAGACTCGTCTTTGCATCCCGCCGCGCCTGCATTTGCTTGATGGACGGCACTCCGTCCGCCTACCGGCTGATGGCACTATTCCCGTGTGGCCACGCAACATTCGATACCGAAATGTTGCGCACAATACTCCACGCACCTGAACCTGTTTTCGGCACATGGCTTTGTGGCTGTATGACAGAGACAAGATTGCTATCCGATATTGGCACATCAGGTTTCCCTCATCGTAAAGTGGGGACATGGCATGCAACATCTCGATTCCATTCACGCCCATCTCTATTGCACACCCTCTATAATGACCTTGAAAACGCCCTCCTGCGCAGCTTTCACTAGCTCGAAAGCTTTCTCGGCATCCTCGAACTTGAATCTGTTCGTGATGAGCTTCTTCACATCCACCTTGCCTGAAGCCACCAGGTCTATCGCATTCGGGTAGCAGCCAACCGAGTATCGGATAGAGCCCTTGATGGTCAATGCGCGGATACAAGCCGTGGTGATGGGAAAGACGACGTTCTAGCGTGCTCCGTCAGTAACTGAATAGCAAGACACGGTTGGAATGCAGACTTACTTCCTTGCCCATACCCGCCTGGACGTAGGTACCACCCTTCTTCGCCACGTTAATGCCGGCCTGTATACACGGTTCGGCTCCTGTGCATTCCAGGACGACATCTGCACCCTCACCCAGATTGAATTGCTCTTTGATGGCTGCGGCAATACTCTCCGAATGCGCGACTGGGTCAGCTCCTTCCTCTGCCCTTGGAGGCAAGAATACGCCATCTGCCGCATATGCTTTGGCAAAATCCAGTCTTGCCTGGGAGATGTCGACCGCAATGACTTTTTTCGCGCCTGAAGCTTTTGCGACTGCCTGCGACAGTACTCCAATGGGCCCTGCACCGAAGACGACCACCGTCTGGTTCGCGCGCAAATCCGCAACTTTGCAGATCTGGACCGCGACTGAAACCGGTTCCACCATTGCTGCTTCTTCCATATTCATATGGTCGGGAATCTTGTAGCAGTAATCACTCGCAACAGTGTAGTACTTTGCAAGCGTTCCATCCCAAGGTGGCGTGGCGGCAAAGATGGTATCGTTGCAAAGATTGTATGAGCCAGATCGGCAGTAGTCGCATCGCCTGCAAGGGACACCAGGCTCAATGGCAACGCGATCTCCAACTTGAAGGTTCTTGACGGCTGAGCCAACCTCTACGACTGTCCCAGAACTCTCATGCCCAAGGATGATGGGGCTGTTCAGGACAAAGTCGCCAATGCGGCCGCGTTGCCAATAGTGTACATCGCTGCCACAGATTCCTGTTTGCGCAACGTGTACGCGGACTTCGTGCTCGTCGCGTAGTTTAGGCACTTCGCGGTCCTCGAAGGCGACATCTTTGATGGCTCGAAGGACGAAGGCTGGATTCTGGAGAATGGATCAGTTTCTGACTGGGAAAGCGCACTACAACGATCTCACCTTCTCAGTGGTGGTTACGGAAGACATGTTGTTTTCTAGATCGACTGCAGCGCCTCGTTGAGTTCGAGAGCTCCATCTTGTATGCCCGTGACCAGTATACCTGGACACAGGTCGGGTGTGACGAAGCGCAAGTGCGGGGATCGTGGGGTCAAGGGCAACCGTCAACCTGCGCGGGGTGTATCCCCAATGCGCTAAATGACACCACCCCTACCCACATGATGTAGGTATGTTTTCCGAGCAGGTACACCCACTCCGATAGCCATCGTCCGATAAAATCGAAATCGCCATGGCGCGCCGATTCCGTTGCGAACCTTTTCTCTCATCGCATCCTTCATACTTTCCACCTTGATTACAATTGCCCACAATGCCTCTCGCGCAACCCTCCAACCCAGACGAACATGTCACGTCCCAATTCTCACTCAAAGGTAAAACCGCAGCCGTTACAGGCGGTGTCCGCGGAATCGGCCTAGCGGCCTCCAAAGCCCTCGCAGAAGCCGGCGCAAACGTCGCCATCCTGTACTCCAGCACCAAAGACGCCGACGCCATCGCCGCGTCCATCGCCTCCGCAACAGGCGTGCGAGTACAAGCCTACAAAGCCTCCGTCGAGAACAAAGAAGAAATAACCCGCGTGATCAACACCATCGCAAAAGACTTCGGCAGCCTAGACATCGTCGTCGCAAACGCCGGCATCGCAACACACCACCCCGCCGAAGACTACACCGAAGACCAATGGCGCCACATCATGGCCGTAAACCTCGACGGCGCATTCTACACCGCGCAAGCCGCAGGCGTAATCTTCAAGCAGCAGGGTCACGGCAACCTCATCTTCACCGCTAGCGTGTCCGCTATCCTTGTCAACGTCCCGCAGAAACAGGCAGCGTACAACGCGTCGAAAGCGGGTGTTGTGCAGCTAGCGCGCTGCTTGAGTGTCGAGTGGGTGGACTTTGCGCGTGTTAATTGTATTTCTCCGGGGTTTATTGCGACGGATATGCTGGATGTGCATCCGAAGGAGTGGAGGGAGAAGTGGATGGGTATGGTTCCTGCGGGGAGGCTGTGTGAGACTGGTGAGTTGAAGGGGGCGTATGTGTTTTTGGCGAGTGGGGCGAGTAGTTATATGAGTAAGTCTTCTCTCTTCTCTTTGCTATTTGAATACTAGGTTGCTGACATGCTGGAATAGCTGGGGCGAATTTAGTCATTGATGGGGGGTATACGCTACCGTAGCTTCGTCGCGAAGACGAGCACAACGAGAAGTTCAATCAATCTTTGAGTCTGTCATCACGCCTGGGAGTTTAGAGTCTTTGGACAATTTGCGCGTTCCTTGCTATCTTGGCATCTACTTCGCTGGCCGCACTGCCCTCATTTTATTGTGTCCCACTCACCAAGCCATGACAATATTCATGCCTTAACGGACCACCGAACCACAACGGATATTTCTCTCTCATGACTTGTCTTCATCCTCGTCGTCGCTCACCCATCCTTCCTTCCAAAGCTTATCGATATCGTTCCCCTCAATAATCTTTCTCGTGTGAGCATCAACCCAAGACATACGCTCATCAGCCGAAAGCCTACGATAAGCAGGCCAACTGATCTCTTCGCAAGCCGCATAGATATAGATACCAATCTCAAACTCCTTCCTTGAATGAAAAGCTTGCTGTCCTGTGTGAGTCTCATCCTCATGTGAAGCAATACGCGCAATGCCATACGCATGTCTCGCAAGGTAATCTTCTCTCTGAGCAAACCAGTCTGTCGCATCAAACCCAAACTGTTCTTGCGTAAAGTCAGCATAGTAATGCTCGCGGTTGGCGGTAGTAATTGCGAATACCGAATGTAAGACATCGTCATTGTGGTCTGGGTCGGAACTGACATGGATTTTGGTATGTCGAGATGGGTAGATGATGACCCATTCTGCCGTTGCGCCTATGGGTCGAAGCGCTTCTTGGATCCATGATAGGAAACAGAATGCACTCCTGTCGCATTGGTCGAGCTTCATAAGGGATGTTTGCAGATCGTAAGGTACGCTTGGTGGGAATGCTGCACGGCCTTTTGCGGTAGTCGGGTCCCCATTTGGATCTGTTGCGATGTTGACATAGTAGTGGGTGACATTGCCTTTCTTAGCAGTAAAGAAGTTCTTTACGCAATCGTGTTCAACGTTCTCTAGTACGGTCATCCAGATCTGTCTGAAGGGCTCTATGATCGCTTTGATCTGGTCATGGTCTTTCAGAGTGGTTGGTTTGGTGTTAGCAGTTGTGCTCGTGGGTGTCAGCCCTATGGCTTTGAGTAGCTTGTTCAAACCCTTTAGGCCCGACTTCATTGGTAACGATTTGCTGCGAGGGCGTTGAGGCATTTTCCGTTCCAGTTGTGGTACTGATGGAGATTGACCGCGCCTCTGGGAAGGGCAAAGATCGCTTGGAAATATGACATGGCCATCACGGGTTAATTGGCACACTCATAATGACGCTGTGTGAGTAGAACCTACTTTGTGCATACACAGAGCTTTAGACGCCTTGTTCTAAGATGAACAGGGCTTGTTCAACATTCAACCCATTGCTGGAACAGACAACGCAATGGGAGAGCGGCCTGTTCATGAACGGCGATGTGTGTAGGTAGGTGGTTGGGAGACTAGTCGTGACGTATCAGTAGATCAAACAGAGTTGAAATGTTGCACTGGGTGGGAAGCGGTGAAACCTGCGTCAAGGAACGATAAATTGTCGGCATGATACATTGGACGAAGTCGACTGGCATTACGGGGTGGGGAAGGTCCGGCCCGTGCGGATTTAGCGCGGGGTTAGCGTGCACCCTGAATCTCCTGCTCCTTGTCAGACGCCCTTCCTTCTTCATCCTCAACACCACACCTCACATTCCTGCCAAGAGCAAACGACAAAAGCCGCGACGCCATCATCATACAAGCATCCACTTCGCGAACGCAACATCTTCTCCTGCCTGCACAGCCACGATCGCGTCTGCACGGCTTGATTGGCAAACGATGCACGAGACCCACTCGTGATGCACGTTGCGGTCAGGCCACAGCTGTAAAGCCACTCACACACAGCCACGGGGCGCAAATTGGGGCTCGTACATGGCCGTACGCAACCTCCCCTGCCTTGGCGGTTGTCTACGCAGCTGCTCATGATCAGTGTGTAACCCGATGAATTACGTGGTTCGCCCAATCTGGTAATCTCGTGTAAACAGTCACCGCCTCCAAGCCGGCACTCGGCACGGCCTCATAGGGAACTCAAGGGCAGATGGTAAGACTCAAGAGTGGCCATGGCTTTCTACCGCCCCCAGGGAGTTGCACAAGTGGTGGATCTGGACTACGCAATGCTTGTTGGCTTGGCGGATGGGTCGCTGTGACTTCAGTCCTCGTCGTGGGGCTGCCGGTACTCGGCCGATGATCTTGCATAAAGCCCTCAACTTCCTCCTCTCACTGTGGAGTTCTCATCAACCTCACTCTTCGTCTCACACACTTGAACACTTTCTAGCCTCATTTGACTTCTTACATCAAGTCAACTATCACCCAAACATCATCCAAGATGACTTTCTACCACACTGCTGAGGACATTCGCATCGAGGACAACCATGTGTTGAAGGCTCGTCTCCAGACCGCCGAAGGCGAGTGGAATGACGCCGAGATCGACCTCAACACCTGCATCGGCAACGACAACGGTAGGAATGACATTCATCCTCAACACGGTATTGGTATCGATACTGATCTCACTAGGCAACTTCCACTGGGATGGCGAGGGCTTTGCCAATTCTGCCGAGAACATCGAGTTCGCACTTGAAGGAGATGGCGACGTCCCCGTCCTCCGTGCCACCCTCTTCGACGCTGATGGCAACCCCGAGACTCGCGACATCAACTTGGGCGAGCGCATCGTCAACAACGATGGCAACTTTCACTATGGTATGCAGCAAACATCAGGCCGGTGAAGCTCATCGCTAACCCGTTCATCAGAGTAAGGGATTTGCCTGGTAAGCCTTGTATAGGTCCCCGGTATCGGCAACCTGGGCTATGAGACACTTCAAAGGAGGACATGGGTTATGAGTGCGCCGGAAAACTCCCCAATGATATGAAATGACATGCCAACTTCAACTTTACCCATTCTCTCAGCTACCTCGTGATGGCTATGCTTCCCAACGATAAATTACTGTGGTACATTTCTTCCATTTCCCATTCAGGTCTATTTACTCACAGCGTAGGCGATGTACGTATTCGGCCATTCATTAGTACTTTCTTCCAACTTCCACAAGTACCTCTACACATCCCGTGATCTTAAGTCGCGTTGTTGCCTAGTAGCTTCGACTCCACTATCCAGGCTGAACAAAGTCCCGAAAGTAGGTTCTAGCTCTTGGGTCACTAGACAACGAGTCGATCGCACAAAACATCTGCTGCTCAGCAACCACTCGTACTCGCATCGCCAATCAAAGCTCACCATGGCCGAATCCACATCTCTCGCATCATGGAAACTCCACAACAGGTTCGTCGACATCGTCCGCAGCGACGCCAGTCCAATCTTGGACCTCATCCCCTCATACAACACCCTTTCGTTTGACTACACCGAACTCGAAAACACCGTCGCACTGCGTATGGGCGAATATGGCGACAGCGAAATCCTAACACATCCCAACGGCTCCGTATCCAAGCGCGTAGTCCGCGACTCCAAGATCCGCAAAGCAGGTACCGTCTTGGAAGTCAGCAGGCCAATGAGTGGTCAGTTCAAAGCCATCGCGCCGTTTGGCTGGAGTGAGACTGTACAGCAGGGTATTACCACGCCGATGAGTGCGCCGGCACATGCGCTTGTGCTGATGTACATGCACATCTGGGTTCTTAAGACGAACAAGGAAGATGTTGAGTTGCCTATACCGAGGTATCAGAGTTTGTATGATGCACTAGTTTTGATTCGAAACGCGTTAGATACGGAGTTGGTGTTGCCGGTTGGGCAGCGCAAGGTTCCCGCGGAGGTCTTGGCCGCCTATCAAAATGGTGCTGTGGACAGGTCTCAACCAGTTGAGGAAGGGAAGGAGCTTGAGAAAGAATAACACTTGATTTGATTTCATAGGCTAATGCCGTTGTGCTTCAGGACTTCGTTATGTGCCCTTTGCTACCCAATGCGCAAAAAAGAAACTGGGGAGTTGGTATCAATTTATCCTCAGCAGATGCTGCGCCGCGTACTCTTATGGTACTTGCGCTCCTCCCAATCCCAGGCATACACATGCGTACAAAAGAAATAAATTGATAAGAAGGAAAGACAAACAAAGGAACATCTAGAGAGACGCAGTCTTCTTCTCACTTATCGACTTGACCTCAGTCTCAGTAATGGCCTCGTAAGGAACAGTGCGAACTACGTCATCCATAGCCGGTGTGTCCTTCCAGCGGAGGTCAGGCGAGTCCAAGAGCGCCATCCGGTTCTCCGCCTTCATGCGGTCTGCAGTAATTCTTTGCGGGTAGTTGCGCATGAACATGTTGGTGAAGTGGCTGCCGTAGTGGATGCCCTCGGTAGGCTCCTGACCGGCCTCGAAGCCAGGAAGCGGCTTCATGACGGCGGAGAAGTTGGGCTCGTGGAAGTAGGCGAAGGCGAAGCGCTCGCGGGTGTTGAGGCCGACCTTGTGGGGTGTTGAGGGAAGGAAGGAGTTGGTGATGTATTGCATCATGTCACCAGGGAAGACGGTGAAGACGTCAGGGGTGGGTGGGACGTAGACCCAGCCATCAGTGTCCTCGTGCTTGCCGGCTGCGGTCGTCTTCCAGTTGGCGTACTCCTCGCCCTCGATCGGGGGGCGGATGAACAGGCCACCTACGGCATCCTGGGCGGCGATGACAAGCAGACCGTAGTCAGTGTGCGAGCCGATACCGCGACCAGCCTTGCCCTTGCCGTTGGTCTTATCGGTCTGGGGGAAGCGCAGAACACGCATGTGGTGCCAGCCATCTTGCGTGTACCTGGTAAGGGCATTTCCGTCCTCCAATCCAAGACCCCACGCGATGAGCGACAGCATCTTCTCGCCGCTCTCGCCAAGGTAGTCCATGTAGGCTTGCATGATGGTCTTCATCTGAGTGAACGGCCATGGGTTGGGACCGTGGCACGGCCACTTCTGCTGAACACGGGAATCAGTCTGTGCGAGCTCTTTGGTGACGGTGAAGATCTCGCTGTAGTCGGCGATGTTGTCTGTGATCTCCTCTCCAGAAGCGATGTAGCCAGCGAAAGACTGGTCATCCAAGCAAGCTGCCTTTTGCTTGTAGTCGAGGCCGAAGAACTTCTTGCTGCACAGGAACGCCGCATCAGCGAGCTTGCGGTTGATGGGGTCCATGGAGATCTGGAGGATACCGTCTCTCTTCCAGGCGTCTATCATGTTCTTGCCAAGCGCCTTGTCTGCTGCACTGCCGCTGAGAGTCTCAGGGAGCTCGAATGTCTGGAGATTGCCGACGACGGCCTTGTGACCCGGTGGCATAGCGCCCATGGGGTGGCTGTATTGGGCAGCCTTGTAGTCGGCCATAGTTGCCAGCCTCCTGACCGAGCTCGCCTGCGAGTTCGATGTCCGGCAAAGGGCGCGGAACTTAGCCGGCCTACTCATGATGGTGCGAGTAGACATCCTCGTGATGTTGTGATGTGTATTGTGACAGGAATGAAAATGTGTAATGACGAGACAGGGTTAAGAGGGGAGATTGTATGAATGAAATGAGCTCGTTGTGACTGATGCTTCGAAAACACATCTTTCCCCCAGGCTTATATACACATGTCGACTGGCATTGCTCTAGCCCCGGAGACGAGCGGCAGCTGTGAGTGAGTTTACTATTCTGCATGAGCGGACGCTTGAGTTGGTCTTCGCAAAGTAACTCCGGACGGTGAAACTGCATTGTAGAATGTGTGCTCGGCTTAGAGACCACCGGAGGGTCTGGACTACGTTGCGGATGATTGTCCCGGGTCCCTAGAGTCGCCTACGTCGTTCCCCGGGGTCGGATCACGACCTGTTCTTCACCATCCTCTGCTTATTATTCGTTGCAAGGCTGCCAGAAGGTCTTTGCGTACCTTGTCTCGTGTGTGTGATCGGGCCTTGTTCGAGAGATGTTGCTCCCAGATGAGGCAAACGCATTGACCAGGTAAGCTGGGAAGGGGTTAGAGGCGCCGTTTGAGATGCGACTGATGTACGAAGAGCGATACGTCGCGACGAATATGAGGCTGGGATGCTTACATTTGGCCGACGTCACCCAGGTAGGACCGGGCGCATGGGACTTGGTAGCACCATGTTTAGCGAACTCTTTCTTGGCGTGCGCCACGCATTCACGTGGCATTCAACGGCCGCGCCCAACCTTCATTCACGGTCGATCCCAGCCTGAGGTAGCACACATCGCAAACGTTGTTTTCGCAGCTTTCGCATTGGTATTTTCCAGGCTGCGTTTTGCCGTAAACCTTGTGCCTGACATCTTCGAGGCTTTCCAAGATTGAAATGTCCCGACTCGATTCGGAAATAGCGCACGGCCTCGTGCGCACCCTGTGCGGGCCTGACAAGCTTCACTGACAGCCCGGCGAGTCCCTACAAATTCCCCTCTCATCTTGCAGGAAATCGATGGTCTGGGGTCGAGAAATTCGATCGTCAATGCGGACGTTCTCGCAATTGGTTCGCTTTTACCTAGAGATCGTCGCGGACGTTTCGTATCTACCTAGATAGGTACCTTAAGAAGGTATCAGTGTCATAGATGCTTCGTTTCCGACTGAGAAAAGGCTACCTGCAACAGAACGAGATGATGCAACACAGCCCCAAGAGCAAACTCAGGATGAATTGGTCGGGCCGCGTTCGCAGCGTAGCAACTCGGCCTCATACTCGGATGCTGACAGAACGTCGAAACGCTGGATACTAATCCGATGCCTGCAGCGCCACACGGCCTTGGAAGTGTCTAGATGGTAGAAGCCGGCTTACATAGTATTTCCGGTTGCAACGGTGGTTGTGGTTTCCACCACTCTTCGACGGATGCAACGGCTCGGAACTGCTGACTTCCCTGTCTACCGCTGCCGGACTGCTGAAAGTATGCGCAATTCGGCGACACTCGAAACTGATATCGTGGTCCATAGATCGAGACCCTCGGCGCCAGCTGGAGTCTTGCCGTTGCTCTCTACCGTGAACAAGGTATACGGGAAGGCTTCCGTTCCTCCGCAATCGCAATTCTTAACATAGGACGGTGCAGATCACCCTGGTCGATCAAAACCCACGTGGTGTCTTCGCGGGGGTCACCAAAGAGTGTGCTCCGGCGTTTGAGCATTCGCGCACAAGGGAAGTGCTGGTGCAGTGGCGACGTTAAAGAGAAAAGACTGTAAGGCAAGAAGACCACAGGGTGAAGAGAATAAGCAGTAGTGCAGGGAAGCGTATTTATGGGTCTTTATGAAACATGCCGACCTACCACTCGGATACGGATGTCCACCAGCATTGCCCACAAGATACAAGATAAGGACTGCGAACAATGTATTGCAACAGCTAATAAGAACAAAATATATCTACAAGAATGTATGGGGTACCGATTGGCTGACTACTCGGAGCAGCACTCACGCTGGACACATGCTTAGTTCTTGCCGGTCTTGGCCTTGAGCCAAGCGACGAACTGGGCGATGGTGAACTCCTCGGGGAGAACAGCGTCAGAGCCAGCGCTGCCAGTAGGCTTAGCCACGGGGGCGGCAGATGAGGTAGAAGAGGCGACAGGAGTCTCAACAAGAGCAGCGCTGGTAACCGCGGCGGAAGAGGACGCAGCCGGGGTCTTGATTGGGGCAGCAACCGAAGAAGCAGCAGCGGAGGAAGAGACGACGGCGCTCGAGGAAACAGCAGGAGTCTCAGCGGCAGCAACGGATGAGCTAGCAACCGCCTTGGAAGAAGTAGCAGCAGGCGCAGCAGAAGACACAACCTTGGACATAGTAGTGGGGACAGGCTTCTCAGGAGCCGCACCCGCAGCTCCACCACCAATCTTGGTGGTGAGCTCTCCATCCTCAATGTATACACCGCTGAAGAACCAATCCTCAGCACCGTCCTTGTCGGCCTGGCCAGGCAGCCTCAGAACACCAAGGTGCCAGTCCTTACCGTCGGACGAGGTGCTCGCATCGAAGGGTCCGGCCGTCTGCTTCAACTCATCGCTGCCGGTTGAGTGCCAGAAGGCGACGGAGCCGGCATCGAAGTCAATCTCGTAGGCAACGTTGTGCCACTCGTCGGCAACGAGCTCAACGTCCCACTTGGAGACACCTCCAACGTGCCATTGAAGGTTGGTGTTGGACGAGCCCGAGGCGCCGTACTTCAGCTCAGTGAAATGAGACTCGAAGAAAGCGATTTGATGTTCGTTGGTGGCCGTCGGGGCGTTCTCGGCGGCAGTCTTGACGGAGAAGTGGTAGTAGACCTTGCCCTTGTTGATGGCTGCCTTGGTTTCGGGGATGAGTTCGGTACGCAGCATAGTCTGGCCGTTCCATTTCGCGGTCTCATCGATGGTGATCTTGACACCCTGCTTGGAAGCAGTGTCGGCGGGGTTCTTGAAGGTGGTGTCAAGGTTGACGTAGTCGGTCACGGGGCCGGAGCCGTGGATGTAGTATTGGTAGGCGCCGACGGGGTTGGAGAAAGACCACTTGGCGATGTCGGCAGAGGAGGCGTAGTCGTTGAAGCGACCGTCCCAGATCATCTCTGAATGCGCATTTAGTATCTTTCGGACTACTGGAGGATATAGATGGCTTACCGGCAGACGCAGCGCTGAGCATCGCGCTCATGAGAGTAGTCTTGGCAAACATCTTGAAGTTATTTGTTCGAATGTAAAAAACAGAGACCGGCCTGTATGTTGATAGAAAAGCGAATGTAAATGCTACGAAAGCAAAAAATGAATGACAGTAGTGAGCGAATGAACAGCACGAACAAACCAGCAGGAAGAGATGCAGCAGACCATATAAGAAGGCTGCTTGACTCAACGCATACACCTGCAAATCATTACTCGGCATCTAGACGGCGTGAACGCATCGCATGTCAATATTTTGGAAACGCGCGCACCCATATTGAGTATCGCGCGAGCGGTACACGCAGGAATG